GATGCTAGAGTGTGACCCCACACATCAATAATTTGCTTCTCTAACCAATTCTTGTGCAACCTTTGTCCCAAGAGTTGTACAGTTGGCTTTAACAGAGCTACTTACTAATGTGGTGAATAAAGTTGGTAGTTCTGGTGTTTACCCTTGGAATATCTTTACCATGTAGGTACCATCTACGTTTCATCAGACAAGACTTGTTGATGTAGTCTTTGATTCATTTTTGCATACATAATCTCTTTTATTGAGGACTTAGTACTTACAGTACTTCAGAAATGAAGAGAACTCCAGTGACTGGACCTTTCAGGTGCTGAGTTCTGGTAACTTGAGTTTAATGAAAGCATGAACTTCTTGCAGGATGGCAACTGTGTATAGTAACTTGCAAGACAGATGTCACCACTATACTTAAAAGTGTAATTAAAAAGTGAATTGGCCAACATAAAACTTACAAACCCTTCCAAATAGTTTAAAGATGTTTTCTTATTGCAAAATTTTGCTACTTAGTTTATCTTTTAAGAAGTCATACATAGAATGAAGACAGCCATCATCCAAAGTTCATCTCTGGTTACCACTCCCAAAACTGAGAAAGAACACAATGTCTACTGCAGATATGTCTAGACGAAAAGTGATTTCTTAATCTCAGCAGGGAATAGAACAGTAATTAGAGATATCATTCCTGTAAGTGCAATTAACTTAAGACATATGTCAATCCATATTTTCTCTTTCCTCTCTAAAGAAAAAGAAGAAACACTACCAAAATATTTCTGGCTTTGTTTGAAAACCAGAGACTAAACACTGAAGACTATTTCTGGAAACAATAAAAAGTAGCTTTATAGTAATATTTCGATATATTTGACCTGCCAAAAATATTTGAATGCAAGTTTTGCTATGTCCATAGTTATCAGAGTAAGTTAGTTTCATAGGTTAGCTGAACCAGGAGGAAATAGCTCTGGCTGGTATTAGTCATAATACAGCATTTCCCACTGTGACACCAAGCCTAAAGAGAGAATTCAGACTAGGCAAGTCACATTTGCTCTGTTACTGTCATTTGGGTCTGAGGGAAGCTAATGACTTCCAATAAATACACATTGTGTTCTGGCAGTGGGGAACCTTGGAACCTTAGGTGCTTATTTGCAATTTTTCAGTCTACACACCCATTCTTTTTCTGGTTTGGACTCCTGAAAATGATGGCTATCTTTCCTCTTTACTGAAAGACATTCTCAGCCACATACCTACCTCTCTCTTGCCAGTGGATTACATTTGTTCACATGGTGCTAGGATAACAGCAGCACAGCTGCAACGGCTGTGATGTTCTCCAAGTACCCTGGCACACACAGCTCTCATTTGCAGGACAGTGAGAGCATAGAGAACACTCAGCCACAACATTACTGCTGCACATTTACAGAGCTCATTTTATCAAGAAAGATAACGAAGGCATTTTACAAGTACTGGACACATACCACCACTGAAAGGTTGCCAGTCTTTCTCTTGAGGGTAGTGAGCAGAATTACATGGCAGCCAGCAAACTCACTGGTGAACATAGTGTCTTGGCTATAGCAGTGGCATTAACAATTTACTTGTGTAAGAACAAATAAAAGATGAGCAAACTTCCTGTAACGTCCAGCCACAATTCAAAAAGCACAGCAAATCACCCAATTAATCTACTGTAGAAAATGCAACATTGGAGTCCTTGTTGCAGGAATAAAAGCCCTTTTAGTCTCAGGAAGCCAAGGGTCTACAAACATGCTCACTTTGGTCCAGGAATAGGAAACATAGTAAAACAACTTTTGACTGTTCTCTAAGAAAATAAGCAGACTTCAAATGATCCACACAACTTCTGCCTAGTGAAAACGCATTATTTATACAGACAACTAACCACTTCTATAGTCCCATTTCCTCCTCAACGTTTCCTAGATGTTATACATAATGAAGATCTAGCCATATTTGGGAGATTGTGTGGGTTTGGTCTTGAATCACAAAAATCAATTACCACCTGACGGCATTTTTATTATTTATAACAGGCTAATATTGAAAAAGCCTAATTCTAGGACTACTAAACCTATAAACTGTATCAAAACAGTAGTACCTTCAGAAGGCTACATGTGAGATAACAAGTAACAACTTACTTAAACTGACGAAACAAATGGGTAACAAAAACAACAACATTGAAAAGTCATTCAGAAAAACTGGACAAAATGCCATGCTTTCAGGACTACAGAGACAGAAATTTCATAGAACGCAAATCTAGCCACAGTTTGTGCAGTTTTTATGGACAGATAGGACAGGTATGGGCTATATAGTTCCTACAGTTAGGGATCATACTTTTATAAATGAGACAAGCTGAAAAATTAGAGGAAAAAGCTCGTCTGGCTTGAAGAAAAGCAATCTCCTCCCCTTCTCCACACGCATCTGGAAGCCACTAAAGGGCTGTAGACCAAGCTCCACATAAAAAAAGAAAGATGCATTGCTGTGGGCAACAGCGTGAGACCCCCTCCTGCTCCTCATGCACATGGGAGACCATAGGCAAGGCACAAGTAGGGAAGAGTGAGCTGCTCTGCAGGGGAACTGGCAAGAGTGAGAGCATGTCCCCATGGACACCTGCACAAAGGCATCCAGAGTGGATGAACAAGATACAAATAGCCATTAATTCTAGCAGTGTGTAATGTGAAATATTCATATGCCTTCTACAATTTTTCTATGACTTTAAGGAGCTGCTTACTCCATCTGCAAAATATCAGCATGTTCCAGGTTTGTCTGTTGTGTTGCACTACTTGTGGTGCATCATGCACATAGTGAGAGTGTACCTTCCATGTAGGCCTGACTGCACACCCTGCACTGCTGCCAGTTCTCAGATCCCTTATGATGAGTTTGCTTCAGCTCCTGCTCTCTTTTGTGTAAAGAGCTGCCTTCCAACACCACTGTTTAGCTCTAATTAATTTCTTAATAAAAACAGAATTTATTTTATACTCTAGTCCTAAAATGTACATAATTTCTAGTTCTCACTAGTGGTTCTAAAATGTCCCAATCTCCACCTAATTAAAATCTGTTCTTTTGTTCCACATTTAAAGACTAAAACAATTCTAATATAAGTTTGGGGTTTTTTTACTTCTTCACACACAAAATTCAGGAATGACTGTTGGATACACTTGGCTAGTTTTGTCTAAAAATTATTTACAATCAGACAATTAAGATTCCTCTGTAGGGCTGCAACTTTCCCATGTCAGTTTTATCTCAAACAACTTTAATACTGCCATAACTTTAATAAATATAGCAACCAGTGACTGCAAAGTATTACTTACGTATATTTATGTTTCAGACTAAGACTTACATGAAAATGCTGGCTGATACTAGCAGCTACACAATTTGAATAATTTTTTTCTAGAGCAAAACCTTAAACTACTGCATCCTTTAGTAATCATGCAACTCCATGGATAAAGCACTGGAGTGCAGCTGGTGAAGCCTGACTCTCATCTCTGACATAGACTTTGGGCACAGCTCACCTTCCTTTGCCTCAGCACATCTGCATGCAAAAAGGGCTATGTAAGCCTGGTGTTAGTTATATTTATTTGAATTTCCCTCAAAGATTTCATGCAGCAAAATGGCAGTTTCTTCATGTGTAAGTCCCTATAAAATTTGTAAGAGCTCAAGCCTCAATATTAATGCAGGAAGCAAAGGACTACATTAACTCTAGTAGAGACCAAGAATTGAACTTGTGCAAGATTCTCCTGGAGACTCACAGTGAAAGGTGCTAGTCCTCTTATCTTGCACATTTTCAAATAGTTCCTCTTGAGCCTTTTTACCTCCAGGAAATGAGCCATATGAAATCAGTCATAAAGGTATCAACAGCAGTAACTCCTTTATCAAAAGTGTGTGTCCTTGGGACACAAACCCTGGGTCTCTTCCAATCTCACATTTTTCCATTCTCATGGTTATTCTCCCATCTTCATATCACAGGCATTTTTTATCTTTTACATCCGTATAATTTAAAATAACAATTGCATGGCCAGTTTTTGGTCCAGATTTGTAAATCCATTTTACAGCCTCATGACCTGCAGTGATATGTCCTTTTGCAGCACATTGGGGCTGTGACCTCTAGTACTGGCACAGAAGGCAAGCAGAGCCTGCAGCACACACGCTGCTAAGCAGTGCAAGTAAGGCTGCTGGATGTCTGCCATGGGAAGCCAAATAATGCTGGACTTGTTCCCATGTGTGCACTTGAGATTTACTTCTCTCAAAGACAGTCCCTAACCTTGACTGTGGTCTCTTAAATTTATGGATTGGTAACAGGGAACTGAGGAATGAAAACACTTGAAGTTCCTTCATATTTACCACACCAGATGACTGTGGCTAAGTGGCAGCATCAGCCCAGTTTTACCCTGTAACAGTGTCTGGGTAAAAGAACTATGTCTAATCAGAGATAGCATGAAAGCTGTCTTTTAACAGGTCCAGGTGCTTCTTGTTCTGTTAATGCATTTTACTGAGCTGGAACTCTTTGTCTGAGGGATCTGAAGAATGTATTGCTGGATACTCCTCTCTCCAGGGCATCTATCTCTTGAAAACAGTAGCTACCAAGTGGTTTTTGCTAGACATGCACCCAAACTCTTTGCTGGTCAAGCAAAGTTGACCTAATTTTCAGGAAACCCCGTTAAAATCAGAGAGCCACAGTCATCAGAAAAACATAGAAATGTGAAGTACCTAAATATAATATAACAGTAGATTTCTAAGAGAGACCCTCCATTGTCCAGAAATGGTATCAGAGGTTTCAACTTTTAATAACCAGGCACTAAAAAATCCCCACTTTTTCACTTCATCTCTACATCATGAGTCTCTTCATGCCCTCACAAAAGATTGTATATGAAATTGCTTTTGCTGACTAATGACTTCTGTAATGGAGTAGACAATTATTCAGTTCTAAAGCAAATGGATGTTAAATACCAAAATAAAATTAAGCTTCTTTTATTCTGGGACTAGCTTTGGTGTTTATGTTGCATATGCTACCTTACCTTCCATAAGAGTACAGCCAGCAGTAGGAAGATAAGAATTCCCACCAGCAAACTGATGGCAATAATCCATCCGACGACATACCCACGAGGCTCCAGATGGTGCAAAGCCTCAAAGACCACCTACAAAGCAATCAGAAAAAGATCTTTTTATGACTGGAAGTTGTATTGTTTTCTCTTGTACTCATCTTAAACACATTGCATGGTGGCCTCACTGATCATATTTCATCTGTCAAACAAATATGGAATGCGTGCTTAATTTAGAGCTTTCCAACTATTCTTCACAAGGGATTTAAAGCTTTCAAGTGGACTTTGAGTGGCCATGAGTTGGATCCAAAAAATATCAGCTTCCACTCCGAAACAACACTTACCCTGCCAACCCCCAACCCAAGAAACTGAGCTTGTTCTGGTGCTGGGCCACCAAAGGTGCACAAAGTTTCATATGAGAAACTCCAACCCTTGGATTAGCAGGGATATCCATGACATCTTTCATGGTTTGTCTTGTTTCCAGCCCTGACAAACACACCAATGCTTCACATGAAACACTCATTATAAGCTTATTAACCCCTTTTTCACAAAAAATTTGAACAACTCATATGCCCCTATTGAATACAAATCACTCCTGCTATGCTTCACAAGATATTTTGTGAAAGAGGCAAGGGCATGTGCAGTCATGGGTTATTCTGGGAACACAGAGAACAGTCTCCTGCTGTGCTCTTTTTTTCTACAGCATTTATGTCAGGGAAATACAGCATAAGAAGAACCTTCCTTCACCATCTGTCTTAAGATGAAAATGGGAGCAAATTATACTTCCTCAAATACACTATGTGAATTTTCAGTCTCCTATTTCAATCAAAACTAGTTCCTCTGTGAAAAACTCAAAACTAGCTCTTCTCAGTGAGGGCTATTTCTATGTTAAATTTTACAATTTAATATCCAGCAAATGCAAAGATGCAGAAGGGATTTTTAAAAGGTAACACATTTGCTTTGTCTGGCTTTGTTTAGCTTTGTTTTGGAAGAAAAAGCAATTAGTTTTCCTCACTCCTTCAAAATTACTTTTATCATCTTTGCTTAAAAATGTCAAAATTATTTTGTAGATATGAATTGTTAAATCAACCTTTAAAAAGCAAATTGTTTGTTAAAACTGGGTGAAAATCTAGGAGTTATGGTCACATACAATTATGCAATCCCAAGATACTCATCTCTAAGAGGCCAATGAAAGACCCATGAAATGTGTTCAGTCACATATGGAATGCAATACCATGCAACTCATACGGATTTTGAAGATGGGCGTTCAGGAAAAGGGTCCAAAAGGAAGGACATGGCAGCACTGGAACAAGGGCCAGAGAGGCTCTGGGCTCTCCAGCCTTGCCAGCGTCCAAGCATCAGAGAAAGCCATGGGGATCCTGAGTGAGTGCAGGCAATAGCCATTCTTTGAGTGTGTGATGGAACAGGGCAGCCTACCAAGACCCCACTAACAAACATTTCTCTGTTTCCATAAGCACATGTAGCCCCAGCAAACACCCACAAGAATTACAGTCATAGAAGAGAGAAAGAGGCTGAGAACAGCTAAATTTTGTCATGGTGTTCTCATATGAAGTAGTCAGAGATCCTTCATCTTAATTTCACAAGTTAATGCTGATTAAGAACACAGCTTTTCTGGAGAAGGAATTTGAACATAGCTCATTTACACACACTGATTTTTTTTCTATCAATGAGATGTTATCAGGCATTTCATAGAATGGGTACAGTTGGAAGGGACCTCACTGCTCAAGCAGAGTCATCCTAGAGCACATTGTACAGAATTGCATCCAGATGGTTCTTGAAAATTGCCAGTGAGGAAGACTCTACAACCTCCCTGGCCAATCTGCTCCAAGGCATGGTCACCCACATGGCGAAGAAGTTCTTCCTCATATTCTGGTGTAAATTCCTGTGCCTCAGTTTCTGACCGTTGCTTGTTGTCTTACCGCTTGGCACCATCAAGAAGAGCCTGATTCCATTCTCTTGACACCCTCCCTTCAGATACTTATAGATGCTGATGAGGTCCTTTCTCAGTCAGTTCTTCAGACTGAACAGAACTCTCAGCCTATCATCATAAGAGAGATGCTCCAGTCCCTTAAGCATCTTCATTGCCCTCCACTGGACTCACCCTAAGAGCTCCATGTCTCTGTTGTACTAAGGAGCCCAGAAGTGGACACACTACTCCAAATGTGGCCTCACCTGGGCTGAGTAGAGGGGCAGGATCACATCCCTTAACTTGCTGGCAGTACTCTTCCTAATGTACCCCAGGATGCCATTGGCTTTCCTGGCCACAAGAGCACACTGCTGGCTCATGGACAACCTGTTGTCCACCAGAACCCCCAGGTGCTTCTCCACACAGCTGATTTCCAGGTTGGACCCCAGCCTGTACTGGTGCATGGGATTATTCTGCGCAGGTGCAGCACCCTGCATTCGCCTTTGTTGAACTTCAGATAGTTCTTCTCTGCCCATCTCTCCAACCTGCCAAGGTTCTTTTGAGGGGCTGCACAGTACTCTGGGGTATCGACCTCTACTCCCAACTTTGTGATATCAGCAAACTTGCTGTGGAGGCACTCTGTGCCTTCATCCAAGTCATTGATGAAGAAGTTAAACAATACTGGGCCCAGTATTGAACTTCCGGGGACATCAGTAGTTAAAGACCTCCAACTAGACCCTGTGCCACTGATTATGACCTTCTGGGATGTGCCATTCAGCCAGTTCTCAATCCACCTCACTGTCCACTCACCCAATGCACACTTCCTGAGTTGGCCCATGAGGAAGCTGTGAGAGATAATGTCAAAAGCCTTGATAAATTCAAGGCAGACAATATCCACTGCTCTCCTCTCATCCATCCTGGCAGTTGTCTCATTGTAGAAGGCAATCAGGTTGGTCAAGCATGATTTACCTTTAGTGAATCCATGCTGACTACTCCTGATCACCCTCCTGCCCTCCATTTGGATAGAGATGGCCTCCAGAATGAGGTGCTCCATCATCTTTCCAGAGATTGAGGTGAGGCTGACTGGGTGGCAGTTCCCTGGGACCTCCTTCTTTCCCTTTTTGAAGACCAGGGTGACATTTGCTTTCTTCCAGTCCTCAGGCACCTCTCCTGGTTGTCACAACCTTTCAAAGATGATTGTGAATGGCCTTGCTCTGGTGTCACGACAATAAGACTTGAAAACATAGCAAATGGACATGAACAAAGCTCTACATATATAGCATTATTCAAACATACTCCCATAACTAGTATCACAGTGCTCAAAATAGCTCTTGAACACGGACTAGCTCTTCACCAAAGAAAAAGAATAACTGTAGCATCTCAGATATTGGCACAAAGCCTTTGTCAGACTTGTAAAAGCATTTTGCTAAACAGAGAGTTTCCTAAGCAGCAGTTTCGCTCACAGCCGGTGTAAAGGAAATACCAGACAGAGATCAAACACAAATCTTGTGCCTTCCTCATATTTCTGAGCCAGCTTGGAAAGATGATCTGATGTGGCAGTCCATTTTTCATAGACAATAAGGTCAGCATCCATCTTGCAGACACAAGTCAGGCGACTATTTCTTAGATGACAAGGCACTTATGTTATATTCCCTTCTGACTCTATAACTGCTCCCCCAACTCATTGCATTTTAAGTACTGAACATTAAATAATAGAAAACTCACACATTTTACATTGTGCCTATCATTCTTCAAGATTCTAAAACCCTTTACAGATGAAAATATTTGGCAGAGAGATCCTGGCTTATTCCATTTCAGTTGGGGCATGGGTATCACAGTCAGGTATTACTTCAGTCATTTATGAACTTTTGCCATACAATTGAAAAGTTTGCTCTGTGAAAGCTGCAGAACTAAAGAGAGATCAAGCAATGTATTAATAATCAGGGCTGCAGGTCACTTATAGGGTGCATTCCCAGTGAAGGCTAGCTATGTTTTTCACCTCAGCTGCCAAGTCTATTCTTTAATGCACTTTAGAATGATCCAGAAACCTGACAAAGATAATCAAACAGAATGGGAAATATGAGGTCCTGTCATATAAAATAATTCCTTTTTCTGGCAGGTCTAATAAAAGGGTTACAGACATGATGGTGGAGAAGATGGAAGCTCTAGTGGTTCTTCTACTCGCAGACTTAAAGGAGTAAGTAGATGCAGACTCAATTTGCCTTCAGGGTTTTAAATCCAGTACCTCTGAGAGGAGTGCTTTAATTTGGGATATCAGTATCTTCCAAAAGTGTGTTGAACTCAATGCCCTCACACCCAGACCTCAAAAGTACTCACTGAAATGGAGACAATGAGAGAATGGTTGCATGGGCTGCTGGTGATCACAATCATTGAGAAGAGGATAACTGAACGCAGTGATCTAGACCATATTCTGAAAACACACAGCAACAAGGAAAATTGAAAGTAGTCCAGATTACCTCTGGTCTTCATGTGACAGAGAGGAATAAGAAATGAGGATCAGGAGCACGGGTAGTGTTTTTCTCAATCCTTCCAGTAGCAAGGAATCATATTGAAGGGAACGGGCAGATCCTCCAGATCAACACAAAGCCAGTGTAACCATGAAAATCTTGGAGTTTATGTGCATGGGTTGATTTATACAACACCTGGTATGCTGACACCAGAGGGGGAAAAAGGGTTCTAGCATAGGAGCTAGCAGGGCTAGTGGATAGAGCTTTAAGCTAGTTTGGAAGGGGGAAAAGGACAATACCAGGCTGGCCAGTGATAGGCAGAGGGATTGTGTGCCAAAACTTCAGAAAGTGAGCACTAATGGGATTGCTCAATACAATGCAAAAGGTATTTGCTATAACAAACCACACCTGAAATGCCTCTACACCAATGCACACAGCATGAGGAACAAACAAGAGGAGCTTGACGCTTTGGCCCAGTCCCAGAAATTTGACATCATTGGCATAAGTGAACCCTGGTGGGATGAGTCCTGTGACTGGAGTGCTATGATGGATGGTTACAGGCTCTTCAGGAGAGACAGGCAGGGAAAGCAAGGTGGAGAGAGTGGCATTATATATAACAGAAGTGATGGAATGTGTTGAGCTTGCAGTCAGCAAGGGTGCAGTTGAGAGCCTCTGGATAAAGATTAAGGGACAAACAAATAATGCAGATGTCATTGTGGGAGTCTACTACAGACCATCCAGCCCGAGTGATGATGCTAATAAATGATTCTTGGAGGAACTAAGTAACACCTCTAAATCAATGTGCCTTGTCCTTATGGGAGACTTCAATGTGCTGGGTGTTAACTGGAAACACCATACAGCTCGCAAAAACAGGACAAGAGGATTCCTAAACTACCTGGATGACTATCTCATGATGCAGGTACTAAGGGAGCCAACTAGGAAACATGCCCCCCTCAATTTGTTGCTCGTTAATAGAGAGGGTCTTGTGAGTGAAGTGGTGATCAGTGGGTGGCTCGGACACAGTGACCAGGAAGCAATTGAGTTTAACATCTCTATTGATAGGAGGTAGAGTGCCAGCAAAACTTCAACCCTGGACATGAAGAGAGCAGACTTTGGGGGCTCAGAGAAGTGGTGAGTAAAGTTCCGCGAGAAAACACTTTTGAAGGAGCTGGGGTCCATCAGTGCTAGTCACTTTTTAAGCACTACCTCCTAAGGGCACAGAAACAGGCAATTCCTAAATGTTGTAAATCCAGCAGAAGGTCAGTTTGGCTGACCAGGAATCTTCTTTGGAAAGTAAGGCAAAAAAGGAAGGTGCATGTTCAGTGGAAGCAAGGTCAGGTGACAGGGGAGCAATACAGAGATGCAGTTCGTCACTGCAGGGAGAAAATTTGTGTGGCCAAAGTTCAATTGGAGTTGAAGCTGGCCAATACTGTGGGGGACAATAAAGTACATTATTTAAGTACATTAATGGCAAAAGGCAGTGCAGCAATTACATCAACCCATTACTGGCTGAGGATGGTCACCTCTCAAACAGTGACGTAGACAAGGCAGAGATGTTTAATGCTTTCTTTGCCTCTGTCTTCCATACCAATGGTGGACTAATGGGGATCCAATGCCCTGAGCTGGAGGATCATGGCTGCAAGATCGATAAACTCCCAGTTAACCCTGATATGGTGATGGATCTGCTGCTTCAGCTTGATCTTTATAAATCTATGGGGTCTGATGGGGTTCATCCAAGTATACTTAAGGAGTTGGCTGATGTCACTGCAAGGTCTCTCTTGATTTTTAAATGGTCTTGGGAATCTGGAGAGGTCTCACTTGACTGTAAGCTGGCTAATGTTGTCCCAGTTTTCAAAAAGGGCAAGAAGAATGACTCTGGTAACTACAGGCCTGTCAGTCTCACTTACCAGTGCCTGGTATGGAAAAGATTATTCTGGAAGGTAGTGAAAAACACATGAAGGACAACTCAGTCATTGGTCATAGCCAGCATTGCTTCATGAGGGGAAAGTCCTGCTTGTCAAACCTAACTTCCTTTTATGACAAGGTAAACCACCTAGTTGATCAAGGGAAGCCAGTTGATATAACCTTTTTAGGTTTCAGTAAAGCTTGCCATACAGTCTCTCATATTATCCTTCCTGATGAATTGTCCAGCATACAGTGGGATAAACACATCATGGGCGAGCAACTGGCTCGGTTGAGCACAGGTCGGGCACAAAGGGTTATCATGAATGGGATTACATCAGGCTAGTGACCGGTCTCTAGTGGGGTTGCACAGGTCTCCATCTTAGGCTCAGTACTCTTCAACATCTTCATAAATGAATTGAACGTAGGATTTGAAGGGATATTAAGCAAATTTGTAGATCACACAAAATTGAGAGGAGCTGTTAACTCCCTTGAAGGCAGAGAGGCCCTGCAGAGAGACTTTGATAAATCAGAGGGCTCGGCAATCACCAACCAAATGAAGTTTAAGAAGGGCAAGTGCTGAATTCTGCACCTGGGATGGGGCAACCCTTGATGTATGTACAGACTGGGAAACGAGATGCTGGAAAGTAGTGCTGCGGAAAGGGACCTGAGGATCCTCGTTGATGGCAAATTGAATATGAGCCCCAGCAGCCAGGAGGGACAATCACGTCCTGGGGTGCATCAGGGAAGGCATTGCCAGCCAGTCAAGAGAGGTGATTGTCCTGCTCTACTCAGCCCTGCTTGGCCTCACCTTGAGTATTGTATGCAATTTTGGGCACCATGATATAAGAAAGATATAAAGCTATTAGAGAGTGTCTAAAGGAGGGCAACGAAGATGGTTAAGGGCCTTGAGGGGAAGCCATATGAGGAGCGGCTGAGGTCACTTGGTCTGTTCAGCCTGGAGAAGAGGAGACTGAGTGAAGACCTCATCATTGTATACAACTTCCTCATGAGGGGAAGTAGAGAGGCAAGCACTGATCTCTTCTCTCTGGCAACCAGTGACGAGATCCAAAGGAATGGCCTAAAGTTGTGTCAGGGTAGGTTTAGGTTGGATATTAGAAAAAGGCTCTTCACCCAGAGGGTGTTTGGGCACTGGAACAGCTCCCCAGAGAAGTGGTAACAGAACCAAACCTGACAAGAGTTCAAGATATGCTTGGAAAATGCCCTCAGGCACATGGTGTGATTCTTGGGGATGTCCTGTGCAGGGCCAAGAGTTGGGCTTGATGATCCTCGTGGACACCTTCCAATTCTGAATGCTCTGTGAATATTCTATGATTCTGTGAATTGAAACTTAAAATTTCACTAGGCAAATACAACGAAGAATTTGGGTGTGACCTCCTGGTTAACCACTTTTTACACGTAACTTGATAGTAGGAAACCAAAGCCATTACCTTCTCCTTTTGCAGTAGACTGGCCAGTAAACATGGTCTTGTACAGTTTTACTTACAGCCAAAACTATAAAGTGAATTCACCTTGAACTTTCATATTTCCCCTTCAATTTTCAATTCAGTCTCATGCAGATCAACACAAAATGTGGTACCAGCTCATACTTGATTTTTAGCAGCTCAGCTAACAATGGAATAGTTAAATGAATCTTGGAAAGTTTAGACAACCTTGTCCATTTTTGTGGCTCCTAAAATAACATTAACACTCCTAAATATTTTGTTCTGGCACACGAGAAAAGACATTGGTGGGGTTTCAATTCTCTGCTAGGTTTTCAAAGAAAATCTGAATTAAAACAAATGCTAACCCTCAACCAGGAAGCTAAACCTAATTTTTGCATGAATGTCACAAGGGTACTACATTTTTAGTAAGTACAAGACAGATCCCACTGGTTCCACATAACATAGGTCACTTTGGTGAGTGATGGTTATGGTTATCACAGAAAGCAAAACCACAGAACCACAGTTCATAACACTCTTAGTCTAGCCAAAGTCTGGGCACCCTCGTGGGCTGGCCCAGCCCAAGCCTAGCCACAAATTCCAGTTTGTATAGAGCTCTCAGTATTCTCCAGCCCACTGGGGTAAGACAACCTTACTCATCAGGTTTATGCACTTACTGCTTTTTCTTCTGGGCTCCCATTGGGCACCTCCACAACTCTGAGGTCAGGGTCCACCTGCACCCTTGACCTTGTGACAAACTGGATGACTGATGAACTGTCCTGTGAAGTAAAAAGAGGAAGAATTGGGTTTAAGGGTGCAAAACAGAAACAACAACAACAAAAGCAACAATCCCCATGCTCCCCCCTAAAAAAACCCAAACCATCAAACATTTGCCAATGTGAAAAATACATCTAGGCAATGCTTAGTGGAGGCTAGGTTGACAAGTAAGTACTAGCCTGGTTAAAACCCTGCTTTGAAAAAATACATTTTATGTTCATAACAGACAGATAAAACTAAGCATATTGTTAAAGATTAAAACAAAATCATGTATGTTGGACTTTGAACATATAATTTGCATTTGGTTTGTTAATGTTTCCCACATTTACCACAAAAGCAAGACAGAAGAATCAACAGAGAGGCTCAATATTAACCATGAAAAAAAGTTCTGATTTGTTTTTCAAGTGAACAGAAAAAAGTTATATAAAACCTGGGATAAACTCAAATATATCTCAAGGGGAAAACCTCTTAATTATTGAAAACTCTGCAAGGCAAGTATCTTAAATACTCACTGTACACTTCCCCTTATTAATATATATTTCTCCAAAAAAATACACAGCGCAGTTTAACAGGCATGTTTCAATAATAAGCCATTTCAACTTACAGGTTAGTCATTTGTATGCTGTTCGCCTTGGGAAGGGTAGGTGAAAAGTAGTAAATGGCATGCATTGTTGATATTGATCCAAAGACATGTGTAAACACTGTATGTCTTTGAAAGGAATGTTGCTAAGGGTCAACTTGGAAAAGACCCAACAGACGGGATGAACCCTGGCTACTCCCAGGTCTGAATTTCCCAGAAGCACATTTTGCGTGCACTGAGTTACTTGTTTACATATTTCAGCATTGCTTCAGCATTTCTATAATTATGTAACAAATACCTGAAACCTCTAGCCTGTTTCCTGTTTTTAAATAAAAACAAATATTTACAGATGACTTCTTTGAATAATAATAATTTGAAGTAAAAAAAGACAAGAAACTGCCATGCCTCTGTTTAAACAGAAAGTATGATAGATAGCTGGTCACAGTTTACATGCATATACTCTTTTTTTCATTTTCCAGAAGTCTCCAGCCTTAACACCACATGCACACAATTAGCAGCCTCATTTGTTGTTTCTCAGTGTATAAATTTCTGAACTTAATTTATTCTGTATTAATGGGTACTGGGTAAGAACTAGGATTAACACCTCCATACACACTGTTGATAAACAGATCTGCTTTCTTTGATCTCATAATTTTTTTTTCACATACTAGTAAAGAGAAGAAGAAATGCAAGATTTGAGTCCACTGGTACACATTGATTGGTATTTAAGACAACTTACAAGGGAAGTACTTACCTTCTTGAGTATCTCAGTATTCAGCAGTGTGTAGATACTTATATCACAGGACTCTGCTTTGGCTAGTGAGCTTAAATTGCAGCGTATAATTAAGCAGGACCTGCCTGGTCTTTCACAGTCCTACAGCAAATATGGAAAAAGCTGTTAGGTAAAGGAGGTAAAAATTCAATGACAAATTGTGTGACAGCCAACACACCAGAAAACTAAGTTACATAGTAAACTGCTAAAATACAGCACTCCTGCATTGACGTACCAACAGCTTTCAAGACCTGAAGATCAGCTGGGTACAGATACCTGCACAAAAGCAAGCTAGGTAAAATTCAGTCCTCTATAGAACTGCTGACACAGGCAAGCACCTGTGACCAGAAGGAGTAGGGCCCTCTGCATGGGTCAAGCACCTGAGTATGGTGCAGCACCCCACTGACCCTATGTGCCTTTGACAGAACATGGGAGCAAGAGCTCTGGCCACTGATTGTGTGCTGCCATGTTAGGTAACTCCATTTCCACTGCACTTGCTGAAACTTCCTATTTCCTTGTAAAAATCAGACAGTCACAATTACTAAATATCCCCCCCAGCATATCATGAGTATTGGTCTGTATGCACCAAATTGTTGCTCTATAGTGAACTATCTGCTTCAGATCTTCCTCCTAAGCCATGCAAAACCTTTTGTAAGATATGCTGTGTGTTCAAGTGTGCCACGAGTGGTACCATTTCTTACCAATACTTTTCTGCCAGACTTTGCAAAGAAAGCAAATATTGTGTGGAAAATATTTTCATTCTCCTGAGGGACAACACATGGGCTGTGGTTTCTGTGGAAAGAACAGCTTCCTTTGTCCTGACCAACCTGAAAGCACAATTATAAATTGCAATTACTATTTTGAATTAAATTGAATTACACAAGAAGGTTAGATTAAGCTGTCTATAACAATACACCTACATCTGAGCTATATCATAGAATCATAGAATCACAGAACCAACCAGGTTGGAAGAGACCCCAAAAATCATCAAGTCCAACCCTACTGTGGTTACTAGACCATGGCACTAAGTGCCACATCCAGTCTCATCTTGAAAACCTTCAGGGATGGTGAATCCACCACCTCCCCAGGTAGGCCATTCTGCCTGGACTCCCATTCATACTCAAAAGAGAAAAATAAGCACAATAAGTCAAATAATCTGAAAGAAAATATCTGAATTAAGACAGATGAACCATGCTCTGGAAATGCTTTGACTGGATACAAACATATCTAAACTAGCTCACATGTGGGTGTGTGTTCTATCTGTCTGGAGTGAGAGATAGATGAGAAAAATGTCAGCAAAATATATAGATCACACATAGCATTTTAAGTTGATAGTCTTACCCTTTGTATTATCTTTTTTGCAACTGTATTACTTGGTGTTTTGGCCAACTCAGCTGTTTCACTGTTTATATCAGAACTAATGAGATAAATGAAATCTTTTTGTAAGTGCACAAACCTAGACACAAAATCTGGTTTTTCAGCTTCAGCAGAAATAGTCAAAAATTCACTTTTTGTATCATTAGCTTATTCACTTGTCCAGCAAAGTGGATGATTGAAGGAAGTGAAATGTACCAAGCTTTGATAAAATGATCTTTAGTGAACATAACCTTGCTCTCACTTTTTGCAGCTTATGAACATTTGCTAATATACCAGAATTTAATAAAAGATGTGACAACCAAGTGTCAGCAAATTCCTCCTCCTGCCATCCTTAAAACCTGTAAGAGTGAGAGAGAGGGATATTTCCCACAAATCACGAACGCTCATTCTTACACATCCTGCTGTTGGCCACATCCTCTGACAGGATGAAAACCTGTACCTTATTCAAATCACAAACCCTTGAAAAAGGGCTAAAAAAGCTGTTATATATATGAAGCTACTGCATGCTCTGAGTCTGATTTGGCATTAAACTGCCTATATCTGAATTAACCAAAGTATTGCAAAAAAGAAGCAAAACCCAATGGTCTTCTTAATCTGTTATTTGAAGTATGTATTCATATCCTGTCTTTACATAACCTCTCCTTACATTCCCAAGAGATACATCCACAGTTTACATTTTCATTGGGATCAAATGAAAATTAAGGCTATGATGTTCTCCATTTTTCCAGGTCATCTGAAATGAGTTTGCATTATTTATTGCAGGTGAGAGTTTCACAAAGCCCATGGACATTCATTTTCTCTGATCTTTCACATGGAAATTAGATGGTTTATGTTAAATCAAGAACAGAAAAAAGTCAAGACATATTCAGTATTTGCTCTTTCTTCCTGAAAGTTTCAATTACTGGACACTTGGATAGATGTCATTAGATTCATGCAAGATATACAGAAAGGAAAGCATGAGCTTCTATACTACACCAGCTTTTGGTGTACTCTCCAAATAGTCCTGCTCTACATCGTATAAAAATATGATGTAAGAACAAACCAAAGAGAAGTATCTCACAAGACTAAAAGGAATTATCCAGCATGAAGTCACATAAATCTGGTCCTTTCTCCTCTAAATGATTATCTTTTCTTAAACTGAAAAGATAATTGGCATCCTTTTTAAAACACTTTAACTGAAACAAAGAAAGGCACCTCCAGAGGGCCAGCTCTGAACTTGGAAATACCGTTTTCTCTCTCTACCAACAAGACAGCAATCCTGCATATGTGGGCTACTAAATTCAGTGTCTCAGTCCATGTTTGGAGTGAAACATGCAAGAACCAAGCACCTCCTGTTACCTGCTCTGCTCTGGAATAGACCAGCATGTCACCTATACCCTGTTTTACAGACAAAGACAGAAGGCAGACTACTACTTGGCCTGAAGAACTTGGGGCAATTCAGCCAGGCAGAAGTTAGGTCACATTCACCTGTGATCAACCAGCGTGTGCTGACAACCAGCAAGGAGGAAAGGATGTAAGGCAGCTGAGCAGCATTCAGTTTCTTGGAAATACTCTTGGAAAGAGCAGAGCCACAAAACTAGTAAAAAAGTAGCAAAAAGCTTTGAAATGGGTGGATCATGCTGAGGTAGAAAGAAATCCATCCTTTCCAAAGGACTGGCCACAGTTGGTTTGGTGGGGTTTTTCAGGTTTTTTGGTTTGTTTGTTTTATTAGACATATTTCACACCATCTCTTATTCTCATTTTTTACACGTATAATGGTTCTGCCAACCAGCCAGAAAAATACTATGGTAACTTTTCAATAAACTTTGCTTTCAATGAAATATTCAGCTGCATGAAAACAACCAGTTAAATAAAATCTTAGCACAAAACTCCTTGACTACGTTATGCTGTGACTGAACTGCATCTCTGAAATACAAATCATGATCTGGCCTCATGTGTGAGCCTTATGTTCAAACATGATGCCACCCCAGCCACCTGTTTTTCTTCTTGTGATCAACCTCATGATTTGTTACACAGAGAAGAAAATTTCTGGCAAAGTTTAAGGGCTTTCCATAGGCAAATGTTTACAATTTATATATGCAAGAAGTGTATGAACCTTTGAAATGGAGTAGGAAGCCAGGCTCTTTGTCAAAGACTCGGAGTTTCAAGGTATGTGGCATATCAGAGCTTTTCTGAAATTTCCATGTGGTCTCAGCAGCCTATAAACAGAAAAGGACTAACCCCAAAGTCCAAAGTGATCTTCCCAGGACCTAGGATCTAACATCTCACAGAAAAAGCAGAAAGGATTTTTTTTTGAGCAGTGCATAGAATGTAGAAAGAGATGTGTGTTGCCCTTGTACTCAGTACAAGGATTATACAGAAGCCACAAAGAAATGTCAACATCCAACTTCTAACATAAACAAACAACACAACTGGGGCAGAGGGAACAGGGACAGAAGAGAATTTCTCTTAAATCCTTTATGACTTCAGATGGAGAAATAAAAACCCTGTCCCAAGAGAAGTACCAAGTAGAAGCAGCCCTGCAGCCTCCCAGAGGGACTTCCAAAGAGTTGTGTTGGAGCTGTCTCTGCTGAAGGTTGTTTCATTCTGTTTTCCAGCAGCTACTTACTCTTTTTAAGACCTGAATAAAATAATTTTTAGTCTGGTGCACTGGCAATACAGATAAGTCCCCTGTATTGGTAACATACCTAAAATCTGTATCCAGACACAGGTAGACAGGATTATTAGCATATAAAGTACACTGAAGGAAAAAGTGAATCAGGCTAACTGCATGACATCCTGAGTACCTGATGTCCATATTACACACTTGTCTAACTTGTTTTGAGAATGGCCCTGTGGCCTGAATGTGCTGCAGTCACAAATGAGTGGCTGACCCACTATATTTCATTGAACAGCTTTACACTGCAGAAAAAAAAGCATAAAAATAATTTCAAATATCTTAAAGTATTTTTTTTCTTTTTCTCCATATATGATACTCTACCTTGTCACATTCAGTCTAGACTACCATGTGTATCATGAGTTTTTTCGGGGTAACAGCATACAATTTTTGCAACACATAAGTAAATATTACTATCTACCAATCTTCGCCTTCAACTGCTGGAAAATGTTTCTAATTAAAAAAAAATTTTTGGTAAAGAAATTACATTTTCAGAATTTCAATTCTAAGCTGAAAAATTCATAAGGGGGTGGTTTTCTGACAGAAACTGAAACATTTCATAAAAACATTTCACAAAGAATTTTTGACTTGATATATACATTGTCCTTGTTCTTATTAGAATGAAGTATGCTTCCATCATCTTGAATGTCTTCAACTTTCATGTGATGAAAACCAACATCAAGAACAAAAGTTTCTACTGACAATAGTTTCTTTTTACCAGGCTGCCCATGTGTAGGGATGTTCCCATTCTCTAGGAAGATCTCATCCCAGACTGCTAAACACCTAACATCATTACACACATCACATATATTGGCTTTTTTCTAGTTTTTATCTCAAGCTCAAAGATACTTCTGTCAAGCTGCTCAGGCCCAAGTTAAAGGAAGATAAAAAAACCGAACAAATTTGCCTCATATTCTCACTGTGGAATATCAGAGTGATTAAAACTAGCACAACCTGAACTCAAATATCAGAAACATTGTTGAACATCACTGGAGGTCAGAATAGTCATCAACTTTTCTCAATAACAACACATTATTGCTGGTTGCCTCACTTAGACACCTAACATGTGGCACTTGTAAATCACCATCTTTCAGGCAGTTTTTGGTGGATATCTGAAATCTAAGGGACAGAAAATCACTACTCGTTCATAAACATATATATATATATGTATATATATGTATTCCCTCGTTGTATGCAACACGTGTGCATATACAGACAACATGCAAAAACATGAAGAGATATAAGCCAGAATATTTATACTACACAGACTGTAAATGGCACCTTGCATTACAGGCCTCTAAATGTCACACTAACTCTGCAAAGGCCAATAATATTACTAATCCATCATCATGCAGAATAGCAGAATATCTCTCATGCTGCCTACTCATTCCAACCCAGGCCATTTTATGATTTTATGATTCTATAGATAGCCACACACTAAGAAACAAGTTTGTCTCTAGCTTTGTTAATGACTGGAAGTTGCTATTCCCTTGAAGAGCCTATAAACATGCTTGAGAGACATTTAAATAAGCCAGCCTATACAATGGCTTACTCTGCCAACTTTTTGTTGCCAGCACAAACCACTAAGCTTCTCAGAGACAAGATGCAACCACTGGAGAATGCATGCTTAAAAATGCTCTATCTGCAGCAAGGAAGAAATTACCACAGCACGACTTTAGTGGATTCGGAATATTTGAATCTGTCTGATTTTGTCTTACAGAGCAGGGGCAAACCTATAAAGCAGCAATGTTTTTTAGTCATATAAGATTACATCACTCTTGAGAAAAAGTGGCA